AACAACAACAACAACCTGATCTAAGAAGGCACGTCCATTGAGGTCTTCTTCCCCAGTATCGTCCTAGTCTCACCTTCCCCAACAAACTCAGCCTCTACCTTGTCACAGGGTTTGTGTGATATCCTTGCACCTGACTAGCTGCCTCTAACCCTCCGCCGATCCCCTTTCATACATTCTTATCTTCTACTCTCTTCTTTTCTTGTTAGGGGCCTCTATCTTAGAATATATGACACCTCCTTGACATCAACAAAGGAAACTCAAAAACTCAAATTCCATCTCAAACGTATTGCCAACAAGTCGGAACTAACTCCTAACAGACCCAAAAGCAGATCTTCAGAGGTTGTAAGTCACAGAGAAGAACACTGTCCATCTTCTCCCAAGGAGTCGATAGTGGTTTTGAACCGCCGGAGAGCTGCCACCTCTGGGCTAGTAGCGTGCCCAGAATGCTCGTATTAGCACCACCTCTTCCTTTAGTGGCATTTGGCTTTAGCATTTAAACATTTCTTCATGAAGTTACCTTGGCACCTCGAACTTAAAATGGAAACATTCCCTGTTGGAATTCACCGTGCCGCCTAAAGCATCAGTGTTCTCTTTTATAACAACCTTCCTTCTCTGAATTCAAATTTTAGAAGTTGTTTATATAATTGTCTGCACCCGTTACACCACAACATCGTTCTGGTCCTCATTAACTTCTGCTCTGACTCACATGAGCCGCACTGAAAGATCTGGTGAAAATGAAATTTGAACCTTCTTTTCTGTGAATCATTTCTTAAACTGTGCTTTGCAATTGTCTTCTCCTGCATGAACTCAGACATTTGCACAACTGCTAACCCTATAAAGCCTGTGGCATCCATCTAAATTTGAATATATAATACTTCCAAATGTAAATGAAAAATTCTTTATAAAAATAGTCTTAATTTTAACTTGAATATAAAGCATAGCCAAATTTAGGTGATACACATTTTTAAGAACCAAAGATCAAATCTATATTTACTTTCTTCCATAATATTAAAAACAACTGATAGTTTATATGTTTAATTGCTGTAAATCAATTTAAAAAGAAATAAGAAGCTGCACTGCAATCCCAAAGCCACGCAGTTCAAATCTACCAGTTGTTCCACAGGAGAAGGACAGGCAATCTCCTCCTGTTTGATCAACTGCCTCTGAAAACCTACATAAGGGTAAGCTATGGGCCGGGTATGATTCAACAATGTACAACATTGCTGTAAAAATGAAAATCACTTCATTTTAAAAGAAACTCCATGCACACTCCTGTTTATCACAGCTTTGTTAACAATAGCAAAGAGTTGGAAACAACCTAAGTGCCCATCAGCAAACAAATGGATAGAGAAGCTGTGGTATATTCACACAATGGAATACTATGCTGCACTGAAAACAAGGAACTCATGAAATATTATGCAAAATTGAAGACCTTGGAGGACAGTATGCTGAGTAAAATATCTCAGTCACAAAAGAGCAAATACCGCATAGTGCCACTGTTGTAAAATGGGGCTGATATCGGGGTTGGATGGAGACTGAGAAAGATAGGATAAATTATGTATACTACATTGAAACAGATGAGGGAGAGAACTGTTTAAACGAGATACATGATTGGGTATTGTTGTTATGATGGGAGTCCAGAATGAAGGCTTCATAGTAGAGTGGACTTGGGGGAAGGGATTGTAAAACAACGAAGGAAATCTTCTTTTACTTTTCAAAGAGAAGAACGAAATGGGGTGGGGGGAGGTTGGGCAGGGGAAAAAATTGCAACAATGAATGAACGGAAATCCAAAGTCTCTGTAAACTTTCATTAAAATTAATTAATGAAAAAATGGAAAAAATAAACTCCAAAGGCTGGTCAAGAGGCAAAGTAGGGAAATGAAAGGAAAGGATTTGGAAATCCTCCAGCTCTGACTTCTTTTCTCAGCTCACTCTTTATATTGCTCATCTCTTTCTGACTCAGGAAGCCTATTTCTGCTGAGAAAGAAGAGTGAAAAAAAAACCAAACTAGGATTAGGGACAGGGATGATTTTGGTCTGACCTGTACTTTGGGGAAGAAGCAAAGAGACTGTCCCCTCTTATACCTGGAGATCATGGAGCTTGGCCTCGAGAACCTTGCTGTCACCAGTTCTGTCTGATGATACTTTCACGGCTACCTTCACTCCAGAAAACCATTCTTGAAATTCCTGCATGGCCTCTATTGAAAAGAACAAAAAATCAAGAGGAACTGTGAACTCGAGTCACTGTCCAGACCACAATAACTTACTTAATCTGACGTCAATCCCATGACTTGCCTTTCAACCATCCACCCGACTTACAACCATGATTTTTTCATGAATTGTGAAGTTATCACAAAGGACTGGGGCAAAAAAATGTTATTCTCAGAATGTGTGATCTTTCATTACAATCCTTTCTCCTGGTATAGACAGTGAACCTCTGCTATCTGTGGGAGTAGGAGAGACACGCCCTGAGCCCTGAGGGTCAAGTTAACACCATTTCCATGGCAGCAGAAGGGAACAGCTATGCTTTCTACTATGTCATTCCCCTTCAAAATCAGAGTTACAGGCACAGCTGGGTGGGATATGGAAACAGACACAGATGACTGAAAATGTTCTGAGCATAATTGCTGCCTCAGTTTTTATGGCCTCTGTTAACATCCAAATTTCATTCTTATTTCATCATGACATAAAAAAATAAAATAAAACAAAAACAACATTGTGTTCATTTGGTCAATGGCTGTTGAGTATTTAAACAGTGAACTAATAATTATCCACATAAATGAGGTGTAGAGGTCAAAAGCTAAGTGAAATTCAGAATCATCAAGATGGCGGACTCCTCTGCTTCCTGCAGGAGAAACAGGAAGGAGTCTATGGACGGTGGCTGCCCCAACAACTCTCCCCTTGCTGCCAAACCTCACAGTAAAAATGAACCTGAACCGCTCATCTGATGGGAAAGTTTCCCCTGAACCGTTGTTGGCATTCCCAGGCAGAATTTGGTTTGCATTCTCTCTCATAAACACACTCTCCGCTGTCAGAGCTCACCATTGAAGTGTTTTTCCAGAGAATCCTGAAGGCTGGTCTGAGTTTTGGAGCACAGCTGGGTTACACCTTCGTATTTCTTTATCAGCCCAGTCATTGCGCTGCCCAAGCTCTCCAGCTCCACAGCGTGGTACTTACGACACAGACCATTGAGATTTTCTTGGGTAGAGCTGATGTGGCTTTGCCGGCTTTGGAGTTCTTTTTGTATATCCTGTGGGAGAAAGGTATACCAAGGAGAACACTCATCCTGTTCAAGAGAAGCACTCCATCTACTCTGATGTGTTTGCTTTACTGTGAAATGGATGTTGAATCTCACTTAGCAGTGTATGAATTCTGGTGGATTTTTTTTTTTTTTTAGTATTTGTGAAAGATTTATGTTGATCCTTTCAAAATTTTACTCAGTTCTTTTTGAGAACTGTGAACAGATATTGTGAGGGGTGGGGATTTAAGTTGTAGTCTAGGATTTCAAGCAAATTGTACACACACTATAGGCTTTTGTCCTTAAGGTGTGAGCAGATGGTTGGAAGTTATGAATGGAGTAACTTCTTCCATTTATATTATTCAGTGGACTTTGATTCAGAACAGTAAGTCACAGAAATAGAGTCGGAATTTAAAATTGTATGTCCTTAGACTCTGGTGGTACAGGACACAGAACTGCCCAGCTGCCCTAAAGGCGGTTCCAACCCACCAGCAGGTCCAGGGGAGAAAGATGGGCAGTCTCCTCCCACTACGATTTATAACCTCAGAAACCTGATGAAGGTTAAGTCACCGGATGGCAGTGAGAGTGAATGATTGAGCCCTGCTGTGTTCTCGATCATGATTTTTGTGGCCTTGTGTCAATAAGGTCTCAAGTACAGTAAGTAAATGTACACAAAGAGAACAGATCATACACGTCGAAAAGTCTTTAGACGCAGTTGGCCAGAAACGCCATCTATGAACATTATCAGCGAGTGTGAAACTTCTGTTTTCTAGATGAAAACTGTTACACTGAGAAATGAAAATAGGAAAGTAATAGAAAGCTTGGAATTCACGCTTGAAACCTTCTGATGAGTCAAGAAGCTCTCCGAAACATAAAACACCAAACCTGAAGCTACTGAGTCAATTCTAATTCATTGTGACCCTACAGGAGGATCTGAGTGCCCTTCCTATACAGAAGGGAGCTCTGGTGGCCTAGTACTAAGAAGCTGTGCTGCAATACCAAAGGCATGTGGTTTGAACCCACCAGATGCTCCCTAAGAGAAGGATGGGCAGTCTTCTCCCATGCAAGGTACAGCCTCTGAAAGCTCACTAGAGAATCAGATATTAGTTGGTTCCAGCTCGAGGGCACAAAACAATAACAACAGCATATAGTTTCCAAGGCTGTGATCTTTATAGAAGCAGACCATGTTATCTGTCTCCCATAGAACAGATGGTGAATTCAAATAACTGATGTTTTTGTTAGCAACTTTTTAAACACTGTGCTACCAGTGCTCCTTGGACTCTTCCCTGGGTGCGGAGAGGAATATGAGAAAAAACATCCGCAAGAATATAAACAAGTGTGAGCTCTAAGCAGGTCCTGCAGGAATGTACACTGTCTGTTAGCAGACAATTCACTTTTGCTTTCTCCCCACCCCCCTTCAATCCACCTGTTCCTCACCTTGCCATGTTCTAACTCATGATTTCCGTTGTCTTGTGTTAGTGGAGGTACTTAGGGGAGATGGTACACCACGAAACAGGAGAATGAATACCACCATTTCTGTGGGAACACTGACCAAGAGCTCACTGCCTACCTTCACTTTTTTCAGCCCCTCACACGTCTCGGTTCGAGCACAGTTCCACAGCGATTCTTCCAGCTTCGCGAGCCAGCCTGTGATGTCGTTAATGAACCTCTCAACTTGTGCAGTCTGAGCGGTGAAGTCCTTCAGGGTTCCTTTGGCCACTTCCGTTATTTCCTTGGCGTGTTCCAGCTTCTGCTTTAAGTCAGCTTCAATAAACTAAACATGCACAAAACGAGATGCCATTAAAATGTGTGGAGACTAGAAATGTTCCTCATGTACAGTTTGTTCAGAGCAAAGAAGATTAAACATGGAAACCAGCATCAGTGGTTTATTTGCAAGGACTACCTTCCTATGGAGCTCTGGTGGCCTAGTGGAAAGAAGATGCTCTACAATCCCAAAGGCATGTGATTCTAATCCACCAGTTGCTCTGCAGAAGGAGGGCAATATAATCTGTGACGTATTCCCTCCGAAAACCTGCTCGAGGGTCATTAATGGGTCTGTTCCAACTTGACAGCACACAACAACAGCAATCTTCCTAAGAGAGCTCTGGTGGCCTAGTGGTAAGGAGCTGAGCTGTCAACCCAAAGCTCATGGCTCAAATCCGCCAACTGCTTCATGAGAACAAGATGGGCAATCTCCTCCCATATAATCATAACAACAACAATAACCTTCTTAAGCAGGAAAATCAGGGCTCCAAGCAGCCAAACTCTTGTGTTGGGAAAACAGAAAGTGCAAGCATTGTAATTAACAGGGGAGGTTAAAGTGGTAGTTACAAGTGATGTTCCAGGGAATGATCAAGATCATGGTCAAGAACAGGAGCTAGACCTACCCAGAATTCCCTAGGAGTCAGCTAAAAGTCTGCTTTTAATTCTCCTTGGGAAATCTGCCTGGCTTTGTCCTGAACAACTATCACTCTAAACCAGCATCACTATCAGATTTTACAGTAGAAATGCCTTCAATTCATCTCCCTCTGTCTTTCTAGACTATCTAGTAAGACTAGTTCTGCTTCCTTTTCAGGAAGATATATTTAGAGAAGGTTTTTGGCTTCTTAACCCTTAAATAATCAAAGGACTTAGTTAGTGTCATCCGTTGGGGGATTGCCCATTTAATCCAAAGGTGATTGTATTGCTGGTGTTTCAAATCCACCCAGTGGCTATGTGGAAGAAAGACACGCTCATGTGATGTAGAGCCTCCTGAAAACCAGAGTTTTGACTCCACAGTTATGAGGTTATGAGCATAACTGTAAATGACAAAACAGTCTCAAATCTAGCATCAAATCATCCAGGCCCAGTTAATAACCAAAGCTTCAAACTTACTTTATTGTTTAGGCTTCCCGCCCCCCCTCACCTCCAGGTAACATTTTTCTTTCTCTGTTTCTGTTTTCTGACCGTGGCAATTACACACTCTGATGCCTGTTGGCTTAGCCTTCTGGGAGGCAAGGAGAGTGCTCTTACTGGTTTAATAACGTCATAAGCTGGCCTCTGGGCTCTCTAGTTCAGCCCAGACTTAACATTCACTCCATCTCTCACTTCCTCCGACACAACTCCCGCCCACCACTGTGGTGGTGCGTGTCTGCCACCGTGTCCACTCCTTGGACTTTCCTGTTGTTTCTGAGTTAATCACAACTCACAGTCACCCTACAGGACAGACTAAAACTGACCCCTGGGGAGCTCTGGCGGGATTGCAGGGTCCCCTTTGACCTCTGCCCTTCCTGCTCAAGGAGCTTGGGTGGCATGGTGCTATGCCCTCCACTGCTAATTGAGATTTCAGAGGTTTAAGTCAAACAACCCACCAGTCACTCCAAGGGAGACAGATGATGCACTTTGCATCCCCGAAGATCACAGCCTTTAAAACCAAGGAGGGGTGGGGGTAGGTGTCTACTCCATACTGTAGGGACGCTGTGCATCAGATGACTCAATAGCCGTGAGTGGGTTGGGGTTTTTGTTCCTGTTCTCATGGCTTTTCTCCCTTCCTCTGTAACTTTATCTTTGGCTCATTACTTCTTGCTAATGAGTCAATTTAATTTGGTGAATTATCCTTTTGCTCTGAATGAGGATCTTGTATCCTTCAGCACCTTTCTTTGGTGGATGATATACATGTTCTGAAAAGTTAGAGGAAGCTTTTACTAAAGCTGTAGGAGGCAAAGAAGGCAATCGTTACAAATATATTTTCAAAAATAAACATGAGTCCTTTTATGGGTGTCTTGTGCGAAAGATACACACGGGCAACAGCTGGACTTGCTCAAGATTAAGGCTGGATTTTGGAAGACAGTCCATGCTGCACTGAATCCATTCTCTCCTCCCCTC